AGGTTTGGTCACTTCGGGCGCATTATACGACACATCATCGGGTCTGTGACCACCGGTGTCTCAGAAATTTAGCTGAAATCGTCCGGAATCGATGGATTCGGAATGATTTGACCAGGAGACGGGTTTTGGTGAATCGGACAGCGCTTCACTCAAAGGCTGCACCTTGTGCCCTTTTCCGTATCAAATTCGAAGCATTCGAAACATAGTGGTGAACAGAAATTAACAAGGCAGTTAAAAATGATAGATGTTATGAAAAGTTTGGAAACGGTTGGTGCTGTTCGACTTGGGGTTTAGGTTACACTGCCTGCGCTTGGCTGAAGACTCCGAACGACATGGCGTCACACAGATATCAGTGGCTTTCATGCTGTGATGTTCCATCCATAGTATCCGATTGATTGTTAGAGGCCTGAGCAACTTGATTGTTTATATTAGGCTAACCCTTTGTCCCTACCCCGCCTGTCCCATTTTTATCACCGTTCTCCTATGACGCTTCATGCAGATAAATTTACAGGCATACAGGGGTTGCACCGGTGTTTTCAACTGGTATTACTGTCAACGACAATAATCAGGATTTTTTGACTGAACAACGCCATCCGCACAGTGCAGACGTGATTTCGACACAAAGAATCGCGATCTCATGGAAGGTACACCCCATGATTACATCAGTGGGAAAATTGAACAAAAAAAGGAGAAGGGCTATCCCTGGTTGACTCTTTAGTCCAAGTCATGGGGATGACCTTGGAAAGCTCAATACAATCACTACATCTACATTAAATATGAGTCTAAATGATATTATTATTGTAACCTTTGGGAGGATTCCTCGTTGTTCAAGTGTATCTAAATTAGCCAACTATTCCACTGAGCCGAAGGCGCCTTTGAAGTCAAGGAAAACCGTCGGCAAAATGTGTGACCCTACTCAATCACTTGCATCTCTACCTGGTTGCCTGGTGCTCCTGGACGCTCATCCTGTGTGACGAGTTCAGCAGCAGTATTATTAAGGCCAGTCGCCCTACCACAACTGGCGCAGTTATTTTGCCTGTCCTTTTTCAAAAAGCCGCAACTATCGATCGGCCCCAGGACGTTGGGATAGGTTGTTGTTCCCAAATTATTTTAAACAACCTGATCAAGACAAAACACAGATACTTACTAGCACCCATGAATAACAGAGAAGGGGACACATCTAGTCCCGCTGGCCGATGGCTACCCAGGACAGAACTGCATAGAATTACTTCAGAAACTGAGAATGGTTTTAAACTCACATTTTATGGCTTAAGCTTAGGGACGAAGAGCCGACTAAAGTGTTGTCCGAAATTTTCAACTTAACGGTCAAAACTGGTGTCATTGTCGTACATGAAACTCGAAATATTATCCTTGATTACCTCAACAACAATCAGTTCTCGCTTGTGTATCAAGAGAAAACGTTATCGGACATTCCCATTTCCTGAACCCTCTGATCCCACCAGATTTTTATGTCCACATGTCTTGGGTTGTATTTGTTGGTTCGAGGACTGTTTTGATGGACTCCAAACCAGTCGAGCCACTTAATCACTCCCCTCAATCACTCCTTAATCACTCCCTCAAACTCTGCTGCCATCTTGCTTTAGTACAAATGCACCACGGTAGCTTCCTGAATGCTTTCATATCCATTCCCAGTAGATTCGAAGTTTGATTGGGAATTCGTTGTTAACCAGCATCCGAATTCTTCTAGATGGTTCAGTTTTCTTTCATACAACCTGAATATGTTTCATGTTGATCCACGTGACAGTTCTCCAAGCTTGACACTAACTTTGGGAAGTACGAGAGAGTTATGCGTATTGCACTGGCCGGGCCATCACCTCTGCGGCCAGTAGATTACCGATATCTCCTCACCGTACAAGGTGTAGCCTATCAAACGTTCAAAACACTGAACAGTGTGTTTGTTACTACAAAAGTCAATCTTGCACACGTCCTCCCACCTTTGTCATCGTCTCCGTCATTTCCGATTCCAAATCTCTGGGTCATTGCTAAGCCTAGCGTTCAGGACATCTAACAAGAAAACAGGGTAATTTAATGTCACGGATCTGATCAGGTTCGACGGTTGATTGCAGACTTTGTTCTTCTCGTCCAGTCGTGAAGTTAGGGGGTATACGGGCCAATAAAAAGGCGGAACTTGCCCTCGAATTCCATAGTTAGATAGTTATCAACCTCAGATTAATGCTGTCTGATTCGTGTGGCCTTAACCCGAATAGAAATTGACGTCAGGACCGGTCTTCCTTAATCTACCGGCCAGGTTTCACTGACGATGAGGTGCATTCAGTAATTTTTAGTTCTTTCGCACAAACAATAGTTATCATTTCAAGTGTGTCCTCTTCTTCCTTGTGCAGAAGGATCCATCGTTTTGTGCTTTAAGACACCAAAAAACGCTTTCTTCCTTTGAGATGCTCCTTATTTGTTTGTTATAATCACCGTTGGCATATTTGTGTCAATCGTCCTTCTCTTTATTGTACATAGTCTTTTGTTCACATACGTACGCATACCCCTATGCTTCCACACACTTTATTCAAGTACATCCGCACATGTGCATGCACTGGTTTGTTCAGTCCGTCAGTTCACGAGGTTTAAATTATTACCCACATTTGAAAGACGTTATTAATCCATCTACTGACTGTGTATCATATATCTGACCCTTCCGAAATTGGTGTGTCACGCATGCATTTTATTTCGCACTATATACTGGACACGGGCTTCTGTCGTCTGTTATCAGATTATGAGTCCAACTATTCTTTGCTATATTTCAAAACTTGTTTAACTTGGAACTCAGGACTGAAGTGATGATCTCAGGTTTTCTACAGAGCTTTAGAGACTTAGTTCGGTTCTCCATCCCGAGATTTTGACCTCACAGCTTGGCCTAAGAAGCAATGGAGGCATGGCGTATTCGTGCAAAGAATTATGCGTGGAAGTCTAACTCCAAATGTTACTACAGTCATCAAGTGCTTTTTGAGCATCACCGTATTGTTTATGTCAAACAATTTCGCATCCTTAAAGTACCTTCGGCTACTATTGTCAGACTCTGGAGCCGACCTGTTCTGAGCCATCCTTTTTGACGGAGTATATCATCGCTGATTCCGTCAATTTGGATAAGCTAGTTTCCCGAGGGAAATATCTAAGACCGTCGTCCCACCGGATAGCACAACTTTGCCACAAAATCATTAGGAAAAACCATTCCCCGTCGTACAGAGATTAGTAGATCGTGAGGACTGTTCCTCGGTCGTCCCAATGTTAAGATTCAAACCTAAAGAACTCAGCTCCAGCTAGCTTAGTTCGCAGGAGAAACGAAACACTGAAACCATATCACCACAATACGGTGGTGGCTCCAGACACATATCCACATTACAAGACCAGGCTACTGTTTTGGAAAATGACTCAGAATATGTTGGAGTCAAAGCTAGTGTGAAAAATGACCATACGTTCGTTTATAGTTTTAGTAGTGTTAGCGCCCAGGTGAAGAAAGAAGAAGTTAACTTTGGCGAAAAAGCGTTGTAACCAAAACTGGCTGCACTGACCAATTGCAGATTAGCTTTTCTTATTTACCAATTTGCCGGCAGACTCATCGTCCAGAAACTGAGAGCTTCAAGTTGGTGACCAAGCAGGTCTTTCTGATCAGCGCCAGTAGGAACGAAATCCCTGTCGTGACGGAACTTCTCGGAAAACACTGACCGGAATTCGCCAGGAAAGATAAATCAGCCAGAAATTTGTAGATGGCGTTGAAACATCACCAAAGTTTATGGGGTCCGAACCCATTTTTATGTTTCTACTAGGGATTCATTGTCTGTAAAAATCCACACACCTCAGTACTTTGGCGCGTCTTCGATTTCGCATCATAGCGATTAGATTTTTCAGACGAAAATCAAACGCAGACATTCTGCGGGAAAAGACTGCTTCCTATTTGGCGCCAGTGACACTATTGTGCACGAAGGGTTCCCAAAGTTAGATAAACAATTGCATCTAGTTTGAAAGACCGCTGGAAAGACAAAGATAGTAGTCACATCAGATAATAAACAGCTTTTGGAGGGGATTTGGCCAGCAGAAGCAGTAAAACAAGTTTCTAAGCGGTCAGACGTGAAAATTCCTGAATGACTGCATGGTACTAACACGGGACATCAGTAAAGAATGGGCATACTCACTATAAACAGGTAGCTGTTAATCTGTTCACCGAACTCGGTAAGCAACTCGCACAGGTATTCATTCTCTAAACAATCGTTTAACCAGTTCCAAACCGCCATGTTTTAAAACATTATTGTCTCTAACATTCATATTAGGCCGCACATTAGGAAGCTGATAACAAAAACTTCCCCCCAACTATTTGTGTCCTTACTCAATCCAAAATAATTTTGAGGGAGTAGAGGATAATGCTTCTACTTACACAGCCGACGATTCTAACAAATAAAGAGCTTATTTTACTTTCCTGAGTGGGTGGTTTTATTTGGAAATAAGGAAATCATTATCATCTACAATACAGTGAACCCAGTGCATCCCGCCTTTCTGGAAATAGAGAAATATTTTGGGCCTAAAATCTGATGAAGTCACAGGTTATTTCTCAAAAGGCCTGACTCGTAGGCCAGTTCGCACCGTTCCACATTCGTGCAGACTAGCTTGAACTTAGAGCCTCTTCTTGAGACTTTTTGAAGGAAGACATCTATTGTTGTTTCGCTCTCTACTTGTCAAAATTCGCATAACGGCGAAGACGTCCAAAAGCCGTTTTGTTTCACGATAGATCAACTACAAAAATTTGATCCAACAAGCTGCAGGGCCACGTGAGATAGAATGTCCGTATGACATATGGTAGTGCTCTGCTGATCAAACTTCAGCAAAGGGTGTGTGCAAGCACACACCACTTGCTACAATGACCTTGGTCACTAGTTGAGAAGACAGCAACGGGATGTAAGACATCTGGTTGGATAAGATTGGACTGTTTGAATCTTTATATTCTGAAGGCACAGGCAGTTTGAGGTCGTGGCGCAATGTGGAAAACGGTGTTGAATAACTCTGAGCCAATATCAGATGGGCTACCCCATGTCCAAGACTTTGAGAAGTTCAGCGATGGAGAGGTGAGTTTTTCCATAGCAGAACTTCCACAATAGGGTAGTATCGGCTGTTGCACTTCCAAATCTCCGTGTAGGTAACTCTGTCCAATTCGTTGTTAGTGTTTTTTGGATGAATCGCACATGCTGCACGGTTTTTGTCTGGTGACCAATCAGTCGTTTTGTGTTGAATCCAAGTATCGGCAAATAAGAGTGACACTGAACCACGGTATGATAACGTGTGCCAAGAACGTACAACTTTACGATCGGTAAAACTACATCCGATATGGAGTTCCGGAAGATGCAGGGCAGAAAGCTCAAAATTAGTATTCTTTATTCAGTTATTCAGTTTTACACAGTTTATGACAGTGGCTGCTCGTATTTTTTTTATAATTACTTTTAATTTCGGGAACCACTGTTATGTAGTTAAGATAGTGAAACTAGTTACCTTGAAGTACCTTGAACTGAGCAGTAAGTAGTTGAATCTTTTGAAGGTTAGGTAATTCACATTGGCTGGTTTAGAATGGGGAACGAACACACTTTAGGGGGCGTTTTATTGCTCGGCATTTCGGTCACCTCAGACAGTACTTACCAGAAGCGGAACACGCAAACATGGAGACCAATTGGGTGTCAACAACAAAACGTTCGGTATTATGCACGCCACTCTGACTACACAATTTCAAGTTCGGACGTGTTAGCTGTACTGTAGCTGAGGAAGCTGAATTAGCATATCCCCGCACTGTGCTATTCACCAGACCTGCCCACAAGACCGATAGTCGGTGACGAATAGGTCGGCGAACAAAAGACTTTATTAATTCCATATCAGGGGCACCTACTCCCTCCCATGTCCACCCAGTGGAGCCTTTTGGGGAAAAACTGAAATCACCAGTCTGCGCGTCCAAGCGCATCCATCTAGGCTGTAAGCTTACGTTCGTTGCTACATCAAGCTAAGTAGATCAGTCGTTTGGAAAGAAGCGAAAAATCGATCCGTTTTAAGATACAGTTTTTGTGAAACACTCTCGCCGTTTACCGCTGCCTACATCCATTGATCCAAGCCGTATGATTTTCACTCACAAAGCATTAACTTGAAAACAGATACTTCGTTATCAATAGCGTTCACGTAAGGTGTTCATTTTCTCCCGATTTCCTCGGGCTCAAAACATTTATCTTTCCACTAAGCTAAAGAGTTTATCTTAAGCTGAACAACCCTTTTCTAAATTTCGTCACCCTTGAGGCTATTATCTATACGTTAGTGATTTTCAGGTATGCTACCAAAAACACCAGAGAAACTACATCAAAGCCATCAATGTACGGTTATTATTTTGTGGATGTATTAGCGCTTAATGTCATCTGCTCGGCTAACACAGCATATGTTGTTGAACAGAGCTCACTGAAACGGAATGATTCTTTAGCCTAATTTATTTCGATCCGTAGTTAACATCATCTACATAGCTGACGTTTGCTTGAGCGTGCTCTTTCGCGGCACGCTATTTCTAAGAGGTAGCTGGTGATAGAAAATTGGGACTGGAAGAGGCCTTTGGAAACCAGTTCCCCTTGGTCTATCTGATCACAAAAACCAGAAGTCAAGAGTTGGGAGATGTTGACATTCCTATTTGTTTTTTTCAGTCTCAGACAATTCCATGTAGTAGACCTATCAACAGCGAGTTTAAAGCATCCAAAGAGCCCTACTATGAGGTAGGGAATGGTTTGAGTTCGAATCCAAGGTAGTTCAACAGCTTGGACCACTGGATTTTGTGCACAAAACGTGCTCTTAGCAATGTTAGTTCAGATAATGCTGACAGTTTCGGTTTTCGACTGCGTGACATAGCGGTGAAAGTGAGAAGAGGGTCAACCACGTGGCCTATCTCAGAGATGTGTTCTGCAATGGATGACCTCGATTTCGATGTGGCCATCGTTGTACTACAAGCACCGTAACAACTGATATATAATACGTAGCGAGATCTGTTGAAACAGACGCCGACCAGTTCAACCGATACACGTGTCATCTCAACTGTAAGTGAATTTATGACATGATCATTTTGAAGCACAACCGTCCCTCAATTTTGCTGCTTTGTAAGTGAGCCGCACGGTGAACTTGGGTTTATGCTTAAAGTTGTATGAGATATGAACAGTCTTACATCGTAGAAAGCAGTGATGGTTTGGTTGGAAGGTTTGGTTGTACGTGCAAGGTATTGAATTTTTCCTAATAGCTTTCCACTACAGTAATTCGTTCTAACATATCTCCATTCAGTGGGCACGTTAGTTGTTCAGATCAGTACAACCCTGTGAAACGTGATTGGACTCATCCTCACTTGTATGCCTTCTGGGAAAATACAAGTGAAATGAGGATGTTGGATTACTGTTTGACTCATTCTCTTCGCGTAAAGGCTGATCAGGACGGTCACGATTAAAAATCATAGCTACGCCGTCCACTCGCCTATGAGCATATTCTTCAATTCCAAAAGTATAGTTTTACATGCACAACAAAATTTCCTCAAGCGGCACGGTGGAAATATGCAGTAGAATCTTCTTTGTAGTAATATGTTCAGATAACTAGTCAAATAATTCGCACAGTGGGAGGTTGTTCAGCATGCGATGCCAGTCGAGGTAATACTTCAAGCAATGTAGGACCAAAAGTCTTTGGACCGGGACCAGAATATTTACCTCCCACTCGATGAGTTTAGGATCTGCACAGTATTGAACGTTCACAACCCTGCTCAGGCTCCCACCAGTCACCCAGCAGAAACCCGGAACCACTGACTCTCCTTGAAATGATGTTGACAAGATCTCGGTAGCTGAAACTGTATTCACAAAAACGATTGATTCATGCAAATGGACCGCCTTGTAATCGTACCCACCCTGTTCTTCAGATTACTACTCTCTTTCGATGTACTTTGTTGGTTGTTCCCACACCTATTACCTAATGATTTCTAATGCTATATGCCTACGACTAAAGAAGGCACGTAAAATGATTAAGAAAAAATGCAACTTATATCTTCTGGCTGTTATGATGAGACGGTAGAGATCTTTTATCATCTAAAGGTTTACTTCGAACGGATTTCGTGTCAGTTCCTGTAGGTTCGGTCATAAATCTAGACCAAGCAAAAACGGTCCATTGGATAAGTGGTTTGCAGATGAGTCCGTTTAAAATAGCTTTTTACAAAGTTTCAAATGATAGTGCATGACTACCGACCACGAGAGATACAGAGCTACAGCTCCTAATTATTCTGTTCACACCTGTGAACGTTTTTTTCGAATGGTAACTGGGGTGCAAGCTACATGTGATGCCTTGCTGTACGTCCAGTGAAAAATCGGTAACCGTTCAAAATATTAAGTTCGTACCACTAAGCTTTTCCTCAGCCTGTAGTTTGTGAGTTACGCAGATGTTCGTCTTGAAGAATGCTACCTGCGGTTTGAGAAGCGCCTTCAGTGGGGGATGTAGCTCTCTCTGTACCAGAACACGAATGACAAGTCTGTTGACATTTATTGTACACCACAAGTGTGATAAAGCGGCTTATGGAGTGAACTGACAAAGTTCAAGGTCGAGGAGAAATTGCTTTTCAAAAGCCCCTTTTACTACCTGCGTTCATAAGCCATATATATGGAGACGGAGAATGCTAAACCGTTCGATAATGGAAAATAAAATGATGATCACTATTGGAATATGCTGAGTGGTCTGGCTGAACGATGCAAGCTTGACGGCATGTGCAGTTGTTTAGGGTAAACATGAAGAGTTTGGTAAGCTGTCACGACAGACTGCTGCCACGAGTACGTTGTATCGAAGTTGTATACAGTGAAAATAATTACGAGGAGGGCAAATGCCAGCCTGGAACCTTTAACAGTAATTGCGTGGCCCTGGTTATTTTCGTTTGGGATTCCTGGCTATTGAGCTGCTGGGTTAAAGTTCGTTGCAAATTCGTAAGGTTTTTCATCTCTACGCGCACACTGAACAAAATGGCGCAACTACTGTCGTTGTTATACCTTATTTGTCAAAAAGAGTGAGGAACTACTGCACAGCCTTGTGGATGAGTATGAAAGCGTACGGCACGATTTTCCTGTCTGACTTGACTAGGTACGCTTACATGGCTTTCAGCATCTAATAAATCTAGCTAAACTGGCTGGCTAGAAAATCTCTCCCTGGATTCTATTGTTAAATTACAGCCCAGAGATTTTGTGCTTTTAGAAGCAAATTGGCATCCTGGATGACTTCTTATCTTTCCGATAAGCTGAGATGTTTAGTCGATACACCTTACTGTCGAACACAGAAACCATAGTAATTGGTCTTCTTCGCAGATGTATGAACTTAATTGTTCTTCCCAGTTCTGCTGCTGCGCCTGACTATACCCACCCTTTAAATATAGCTATATATCCCTCTTTGGTCGTAAGTACAGGCCAATGAAAGATTTCGTAGATGACTGATCGGATAACGCAACCTGCGATCCGGTGGCTTGACTCAAGTGCATGAGCCCCAAAATCTGGTTCTTTCAGTCACTCGAACTGGTATGGTTTCCACGCCTAACAATGTAGTTTTCCTCTCTCGAGTGATCAGAAAGATTCACTTTTGGAGAAAGTCACAAACTATCAGCGACGGCACATTCCCTTAACCAATAAACTGACGCCCTGTTAACGCTACTTGTTCTCGAGTGATCAGAAAGATTCACTCTTGGAGAAAGTCACAAACTATCAGTGACGGCACATTCCCTTAACAAATAAACTGACGCCCTGTTAACGCTACTTGTTAGTCTAGCCTCTTTTTCTCATCTTTTTCTAATTCCGATCAACCTTCTCTTGAAAGTCACGCGCGCTGGTCGAAGCCTCGAGCAGCCCACCTCGGAATACCACTGTTGTGTTATTTCGTCATGCTCCAGCTGAAATCCTTTTTGGATTCCTTCATTGAACTCATTCCGATAGGAGAGTCTTTCCGGGAAAACATGGTCACCTCAGATGATCTCATTGTCCACTTAGGAAGGAACCAGCTTTCAGTAACGATAATTTTTCAACAGGGAGTCATTTGCTTATGAAAGCTGGTGGGCTCAGCTTCATGGCTTATCAATACTTGGGACTCATCGTAGATGATTACTAAAAAGTGACCACTTCTCGCCATTTATACTTGCACTTACAAGGTTGCTACTGACAAGGAGTCCGAATCAACGGTTGATGACATTCAACTTCGCGTAATGGAGGACGAAAGGACGATGTTTCAGTCGGCAATCGGAACGGTCATCTCTTGTCTTGGCAGCGCGGTAGGAACTGGAAATATATGGCGATTCCCTCGGATTCTGGCTACACAAAGTTACTACAGAGGTACGTCTTTAGTCATCTTATGTAAGCATTTAATTAGTATTTACATTGTTCCATCGTATTCCAAGGTGTACAAAAGCAGTACAATGAGGGGATCAGAGTTTCATGTTCCTGTCAAAGGAGACTTTTCCTCGAAGTTTGCACGTCTACAGAACTGAATCGACGGGGCACAAGTGTAAGCACAGAAAAACAGTTATTGTCTCTTGTAACAGAAAAACATATTTGCCTACTGAAGACTCTGAATTTCTCCGTGTCTTAGTAGGTGTCTACAGAACTGAATCGAAGGGGCACAAGTGTAAGCACAGAATAACAGTTATTGTCTCTTGTAACAGAAAAGCATATTTGCCTACTGGAGACTCTGAATTTCTCCGTGTCTTAGTAGGGGACCTCCTCATTTTGGTACCATGGTGGTTACGAGAGATTCCATAGAATAAACATAGAACCTTGAAGGATCTTAAAGTCTTTAGAACGTAGACCAACATAATGCATCTCAGAAGAATAAACTTGCTAGTGATCCATAACATTTCCTCCTATTATCGCATTTGATCAGAACATGGGGTAAAATGTTCGGATGACAGGTGGTTAATTTTATTTGGGTGCTGACCTTTGTAATTAGTTTTTATATCTAGATATATAAACTGGATGATTCTTAGCGATTTCTCTTTGATAGCAGGGTGAATCTTTTATAAGAATCAACGAAAGGAAATAGATCTGTTGAAGGCAAGCGTAGAAGTTGTGAACTAACACACTGCATTTAACAGTTAGAAGCAAAGATACCAGAGGTGCAGTGGAATTGGTTTCGCGAGATCGGAAGAATCTGCTGTGTGGTTATTCAATGATAACGAGTACCACCTGTTATCACAATAAGCCTACTCAACCCACTATTGACCCTCACGTTTCATGTGACGAACAAAACAAGGGTGTCATGAAAACCATAACAGATCGCAAATCACAGAATTCTCAGAAGCCGACGTTGGTGCTACCGCATTGTGGAACGCCACCTGACAAACCAACCTCAGAGGTTATCAAAGAATCGCACAATGTGCGCACTATCTGGAAAGAGGTCGAATTCGCGAAAGCTTTTGTAGTGTTGCTTATGACGTAATTTGGACGACCATTTTGTCCGTCGATGGATGAACTCGAACGCCAAAAATAAAATGATCTCAGCCAAAGATAAATTCGTTAAAAATATAATTTTACGGAGGATGACTTGAATGAGTGATACACGAAATTTCAAAAGCTTCTCTAAAATCACACAGGACCCAATCAGTGTAAGAGCTTACGTAATTCCCACACTCATGGCTGTAAATTCTCAGTGTAATTTTTTTCGAATGCTCCCTTATGCTATTGTGTCCTACATGTCTAAACCCAACTAAACATATTTTCTACAGACGTCCTACATGTACACACACATGAGCTATGGTTTGTTAAGTCATCTATCACTGGATAACTCTCATGTGGCTCACGTTTCGTCCAGGTTCCCTTACGTTCTACATCGCGTGGGCAATACTCCTCTTCTTTTGGTCTATACCTGTCATTTTGGTCGAGTATGCCATCGGTCGCTTTACGAAAAATTCACCAATCGTATCCTACCGGAAGTTCATGGGAAATTACTTTGTCTGGCTTGGTGGGTGGATCGTAGTGACTGCATTTTTTATCAGGTAAGCTGTCGTTTACTACCGAAGTACGGGAGTGCTTTGCATGCAGTTATTTGTTTGGTAAAATTGGCTCCTATCAGCTGTGTAGTTAACACATCTTAACAGATAACATCCCGTTTTTGAGGCTTCAATTTTTTTTCAATTTGCATTGTGATACCTTGCCCTGACGTGTGATACCACTGTTTAACAAAGCAATAAAAAATCCCGTCAGATTTCTTGAAACCACAATACATTGCAAAAATGAATCCATTGTCTGATAAAAGTTGTGGTATTCATTACAGGTTGGATACATTCTATATTTTTTTGCTATTACTTGAACAAGAAAGCTTTTCCGATCGGCAGGAAGAAAACGACAAAACCGTAATATCTATTTCGTGAAAATGTGACTAATTTTACTTGTATGATGTAACTAGTATAATACAGTGATGTTATCGGTATACAAAAGTTTAGTGGGTGAAGTTTAGTGACTGGAAAGTGGCGCAAAGTTTTCATAAGGTGTGCTCCAGTTCGGATGAGAAAAAGCAGTGACAAACGAGGTATGCATTAAGTTGGAATTGAACTTGCGGTGAAATACTGTTCACTTGATAAATGAGATACGGAGCTGATAGGCCATTCTCAAGTTTTACAGCAAACCGTATAAAAAGCTTCACAAACCGAGAGTATGTCATAGAATTGGTGGTTGTTTTGAAAGGAAAATTCGGATACATTTGAAAGCCTTAAAGTACATACAAATTTAAGACATCCAAAGGTTTTCCGGAGGCAACAACAAGACAGCTATGTAGTTTGAAATCTGAACACCTTCCACCCGATTGAAACAAGAGCGATAATACCAACTACCGAGAGGCATGAAAGGAAATAAATTCAGAAGAAAAAAATTCTTCAATACTCAGAGTTACTTTCCTCGTGGATCGCAATCAGGTTAGCAAGATCAACGTTAAAAAACTAGGTGGCGAATAATTGGTGAATAACCACGTCCAAGAATTCTTGAATTGCAGAAAGATCTATTCAAGAATTCCAAAAAACTATTAGTTGGTATCCTTTTCTTGTTGTTCTATAAATAGATGTTTAAATTTGTTCTGTCTATCTGGTCATAGGCAAATCTCACAAGATTGGTGCATTTGTTGACCGGGTGTTTCAGCGTTCAGTATGAACTGACATGGCGATGAATAGGCAGGCAAACTGAAATACTGGTGAGATCGTTATCACATTGTGGAGCACATGGAATTGCGTGGATCTGCCCATCGTTGACAGACTGAATAGTGATACGAAAAGGAATACTTTCCGATACGTATAGGCAAGTAAGTAAATTGAGCGACCGAATTTGCAGTCTGATCAGAGGTTTCTTACCAGCTGGTTCATGGATGAACTTGTTGGCTTGTGATCACGTGTGGTGCGTATTAATCTCTCATACAAAATACGTCGCGACGTTGCACGAGGTCCACATGTTGACTTAGGCAAGATGACTATCCTGGACAATCACCAAATGTCCTAACTTTAAGACGGTAGTTTTGTCGGAGAGTTTTAATCTTGGATGTCCTAAAGATGCTCTGTATGTAAAATACGATGTGAGAAATCAATCACACCGGCTAGATTTACATAAGAGTGTGATGTATCCATCGTTTGATTGGGTCCCAGAGATCTGATCGCAACCGCCACGGACACGCAACCAGCTTTCCTCAGTAGGAAAATAGTATGGTGCAATTGTGAAGTTCTGTTTTTCTGGAAATGATCACACGACACAATGATGCCATCGATAAAATCCAGATAGTTCGTTTGACGTCTGCACGATGAATTTTGGGGGCATTTCTGATACTAGGTTGCATATACTGAGCGGAAGTGAATCTCCAAGCGTCCACAGAAACTCGATGAATAAGATGACCTGCGAGCCAAAATATTATAATTGATTGTACCTCACCGTGAGCTGTTGCAGTGGAACTGACTAGTATCCGACCTAAAGTATGAAGTAGCTCATTTTTGTGCATAAGTAATTAAAGAAATCTAGTACCAGCTAACTCAGCTACACTAACCGTACCTGTCATACTGCTCAGCCATACACTCAAGCTCCTTTTTTCAAACAACTGTTACTCTTCCGAACGTACGTGAAACTTAGTGAATAGAGGCGTCATTTTGTTAGGTTATAAACAGGTTAATTGCGTCGCATACGAGATTCTGAACTGAAAGTGGACAACTCTTTAATCAATCCGAGCAGGACATTCTTCGTTTACAAATACATAAGTACGGCGTACTCACGCGTCTTGTCACCCACGAAGTGTGGAGTCAACATGGTAACAAGGAGAAACGGCTCACCGATGGGCCAAGCAAATGGATAAACGACGCGTACCCGACGAGCCCAGTGAGGAACAGGGACCCAATCGACCCAAGCGACTTGGGATCTGCGGTCACGAAAAACTATTCGTTGTAGTCAAACTGAACACCGATCAGGGAATTGTGGCGATGAGCCCCGTAAACATTTGAACATCTTTGAGCTCGAGTGCACAACGGGACCGCTGCAACTGTAAACCTGATACAGACTTCTGTGTTCAATTCCTTAGTGAGGTACTTCCGCATATGCCGCGCACAGTGTGCCGGTGGCGACTTCTTTGGATCTCTCGAAAATTTTCCTAGCCCTCTTATATGGTTTCAACCTTATATCTGTTTCAACCTTTATAGCGCCTACTATTCCGTGATCATCGGTTGGTGCTTATATTATCTGTACGTTTCAATCGCCTTCAAAGAACTACCGACCACAGAAAAGGCAGGGATGGAAATCTTTGACAATTTTTCACGGGTAAGTGAAACCAAAAGTATTTCTACTGTGACTTGGGTCGAAGCTTTTTTGCTTTTATCTCTTGACTTTGTATTCGGATGTGCATTCTAATAACAAACTACTGAGTTTATATGAAGAGAACTCCGTCCACAACACATGGTCTTATAACGAAGTGGGAGTTGTTACTGAACTTGCACGGCATTATTGTTGCAGAGTTTTGTCACTGTATGACAGATTATATAAATAACAGAAATCGCTGAGCAAAATTAATGTATATTTTACGGCGAATAGAAATGAAATTTTCATGAAATTTTCTTTTGGAATGAAATGGTGTATGACAGGGATATAAATGTCCCAAATTTGCGGACGTAGATTTGCATACCAATTTGGTTTTCATGGAAAGTTCACCTGAATTGCAGCAGAATATATCTTTCAGGATTAGGGTTAGCCTTGGAAACCGAAATGTTATACAAATGAGTAATTTTGGGTTCAAGAAGAACATTAGGTTGACGGGGTCTCTGCGACTGCGCCCACCTCGGGCGTTACGTCTGTACGGTCGCATTCAGTTTACTCACTGTGACGAAAGTAGTCTTTGCGGATATCATCCCTAGTGCCAGATGTACAGTCTAGTCAAACAACGTTGAAGAGCAAAAGAGTTCTGACCTATGTTATGAAGATGGTTAGGACCACACTAATCTAAATGGAGAAAAGAGCATGGAGTGGCTGAGGACTGTCGCCTTTGTTTCATTCTAACCCACTGTTTATCGATCCATATGCCTAGATCAGGGACTTCAAGCTGATGATAATGAATGACTTCAAAGTAACAAGCGCTTACGAGCCGTGTGCATGAACATCATTTCACATATAGAATTTCCACGGAGACAACTGTCGCCGATATTGCTGCTCACCAAGAGTCACACAAATGAAACTAGATAACACTTGCCACCTAAATGAATCGTTAGGTGGCGAAGATTTGTTCAACCCATCTAACTAGTGGTTATTATATCGACCCGATCTACTCTAATCTCTCAACTTTCCCAGAAACTTGCTATTCCACCCACTAAACGCTGGGTTTTACTATTACACGAAACAGCGAGTAAGCTCTCGCACAAAAGTTGATCAACATACTTCTGTTCGCAGACAAACCGGTCTGAAAAATGAATCCAGCTGTTAGAAACCACAAATGACGCTTCGTTTAACTCAGAGCTCTCTACTGCTCATTCAACACTATCGGCACAACATGTAGAATGTTGTATGCATGTTTCGGAAGCTATATGGATCACCGCTGTTAAATTCACAGCTCGCCAAAAATTGGAGTAATGAAACAAATGAAATATATGGATTCTATCGGGATTCAATTTGCCCGATGACCATTCAGATTGTAAGCTATATTATCATCTGTCATATCTCTAAAGCAAGTCGCTTTAGCTCTTCAGAATGACAAGCTTTGTTAGAAAGACTCTGGACACTAACGGCGAATATTTACAGCCTTTGTGTGGATGAGACTTGCATAACCAGTTATGGATAAAGGGGTTATGTGTGTCATTTGGATGTATGAAATTTGGTCGAACTTACCAGCCGCTGTGGAATGCAGCACACAGATGAATCTGCTCCTGATCACCCCACACGCTGTGCGTTCGCATCTCTGTATGTTTTCTGGTTACCAACATAATGGTGCAGCAGCTCAACATACTTGACTGTTTCGCTTCGACTGACATTCCCCGAAGGCCCCACCTGTGTAGTGTGTCTTGGTATTTGTGTCGGAGTAAGCTTGTCTTTTAAAAATGGGACCGAAGTGACGATTTCTTATTGTCATCTCAAACCTAAGCCCCGCTCTCACCCGGAATACAGCGTAACTGTGTAAAATCTTAATGGAATACGGAACTCCAGCACAGATGAGCCCTCTCAGGATGGCCTCTGTGGGTGCAGTGCTATTCAACGTTCCTCGTTCATTCCGATTCATATCGGTGTTTTTTGTTAGACGCAAAGTAAAGTACGTGGCATTAATTGGATCTGTCTGAGTAAAATATCGTGCTAGTTAATCTTGTTCATCTTAGGAGAACATTTCTTACGACGGCATGCTGCTGCACACTAGGATATAATATGATATGTCATCTACGGTTTATGAAAAACAAGAGAACTTGATAAAATTAAAACAGTGCTTCCGAGACGTGCGTAACACTAACGCCCTCTGGGGCGGCTTTTCCAAAAAGGATGAGACATCCGTTCAGTGTGATGAAACAGTAAATCTAACTGACGTTTTGCCCTGTTACTGCCATCCGGTTTATCGAAACGACATCTGTGGCCAGCATACGCACACAAACCTGATATAAAATTACGGCATCCTAGCACAAAGTAACATCAGCGGTATAATGCACTGCCTTAACGCATCTTAAGTCACCCTAATAAAACTACTGACAATGGTGGGCCTTAGTTAAAGAGACAACCCCTCTCGTGTTTATCTCAAACAGCTACCAAGGTAGTGCATTTCCTTCAGTTGCTATGTAAACATGACAGTTTCTGGTCTGTTCCAAAGACACGGCCCTACCGCGAAGATGACAATGTAAGAAAATGGCGTTAATTTCAACCAGATAAAAATATGGAATAACTTCGTACCCAAGCTAGTCCTGTATACAGATGAATAGACGAGACTAAGATTTTGCTTAAAATATGAATTATGACAGATAATTTAAGTGTCCTTTTAGCCCAAAGAGCCGTACGTAACGTTACATGGTCCACTTGGTACTCCCGCAGTCTGCCTAAGAGTTTTCGCAAAACGTACCAATACTGTGTTTCATTGAAACACTGTATTTTGATATCTCGAATATCGTCCCAACTAAAACATGAAGAGGCCTTTGTGCAACAGTTGAAGAATATAATAAACGGGAGTTTCAGCTGAAATCCAGCTGCGTTTCTTCCTAAAAACAAAGTAGTTTGCATTGCGTGCAACTTGAATCCATGTAGAACACAAGGTTGACTCCGCTTACTGTGAGTCTGACTGTTCCACTGCGAAGTGAAAAATTATAGACTATTCTAACTTTAAATAATAAAACAAAAGCTTCAGCGTCCTCGCATCAGGTACCAAACTCATTAACTGCAAATGCCAGATTTAGTATCAAATACCACGCCTAACCTTGCAGCATATGCATGCCTCCAAGTTTCATTTAACACTGTATTTTGATATCTCGAATATCGTCCCAACTAAAACATGAAGAGGCCTTTGTGCAACAGTTGAAGAATATAATAAACGGGAGTTTCAGCTGAAATCCAGCTGCGTTTCTTCCTAAAAACAAAGTAGTTTGCATTGCGTGCAACTTGAATCCATGTAGAACACAAGGTTGACTCCGCTTACTGTGAGTCTGACTGTTCCACTGCGAAGTGAAAAATTATAGACTATTCTAACTTTAAATAATAAAACAAAAGCTTCAGCGTCCTCGCATCAGGTACCAAACTCATTAACTGCAAATGCCAGATTTAGTATCAAATACCACGCCTAACCTTGCAGCATATGCATGCCTCCAAAAAGGTTTCGGTAGAGTAGCAACAAGGATGCGTGAAAAACGTTCTCTCTTCATTTTCTATGTCTCTTCGAATACATCCAAGTTTTCCAAACATGAAGCAGGAGAAATGCATCCGACTCTATTAGTCATATATCCAGTGATTAATTTCGCATTTAGCTGAAATACCACAAAGAACCTTGTGTACTGGAATAAGTCATAGATGGGTAGATTCGTAATCCACGTGCCCATGGTACATCGTTAGTATCGTTCCAATTCTTTTCCTTACTTAAAGGCTCCTCAATGGCCTGTTATTTGCCAAGTAATAGCAGTCGTGATCGCAGGCATCTTCCTCTTTGGGGGGATAAAATGGATCGAAAAAGCAAACCTTCTCCTGGTCCCGCTCTTATTGGCAATATTGATATTCACCTTCGGCTGGTCACTAACTCGCCCATATGCCGAAGTCGGGATAAAATTTCTCTTCACACCGACTTGGGGTGAGTCCTGAACTTTATTATTGTTGGAATAAAATTTCCCTCCCACCGACTTGGGGTGATTCCTGAACTTTATTATTGTTGGACAATCAATGGGCCTCCACAAGCCTATGTACTCTCCACATATAAAAATCTTGAATCAGTTTGTCCAAAACCTTGTACAACTGATCTATTTTCGTTTACTTTAAAGCCATGGAGGCAACTGGTTAACCCAAATTAGGGGAATTTTTCTGTCAAACCTAGGCGGCGTCTCGAAAGTACGCCACATCAAAGCCGATTATACTAACTCCAGACTCATCATTTCGTCTCTGGTTTGCAAAAGGTTGCGGAGTTTGAAACATATCATCAGTGAGCAGTTTCAGGACTTCTGGCGACCTTGTTCGCTGGACCTTGTTCTCGGGCTAGCGCTGACATAAGGTTCATGAGCACAATAAAACCCGCAAACTGGTAGAAACCGATTACATAATTACAGGTATCCTCACAAGTGTCCTGCTTATAAAAGCGGAATATTGTCTCTGTGATCACACTGAAGCCAGCACTCCAAATTTGTGGGTACTAATCATTGAAAGAAATGGTATGCTGTGCATCGAGTGTCCAGATTACGACCGACAGCCGACCTAAACAGTATGAACAACAGGTGGCGATCGACATCGATCGAAACTGGGGTCCGGTTTAAGTAGTCCTCATTTATAAACTCATGAATCTTCTACAACAAGGAATCGTTAACTATATGCAGGTGGGGTATCTTTATTTTGAGCACGTGTGACCCCTGGAAATACTTTATCCGCCGAACGGAGAAACAGGATGACCCGTGTGCTTGCTCGACTCGCGGCAGAAGAAGGTGATTTGTTACGGGAGTGTACGGCAAAGTCAACAATTCATCCAGCCATGGTACACTCATACAACACAGCTAAGATCATATAAAGTATCGTCATCATCATCACTGTCAGCTGTAATAACCACGCACTTGTCGTATAGTGGTTGTATCTACATGAAACAATTCAGCATGGGGAGGTAAATCATCTCTCGTAGCTATAGATTCACGATAAGTGTCGTTTTAACTAGAGATGTGATCTCATAGTATACCGGATACCGGAATGCTTATCTGGCAAAACTACAGAATATTCATGTATGACATGCCCAGCAGGTCGCAGTAGAGAACAAAACTTAGGCTTCCTTTTATTTTCTATATGTGCAATAATAGCAATAGCGTGATGACATCATCAGGCGTCCAGTTTGTCAGATCTCTTCCAGTCGACGCAGCTAATTTTATTCAAGAACCAATAACCTTCGATGTCCAGCTACGGTCAGGCGATTTGTGGTCACCTGCAAAGCGCAGTACTGTACATTCAGGGAAAACTCCTTGAGTACTAAACATGAGTCAACATTCATCCCATTTCACTGACCAATGTAATGACTACCCGATACGGTTCTAAGATGGATCATCTGGTTGAATCCTTCTACTGCTTTGTCTTAGATACGAGTGTATGACACCTTGTATACTTCATCTAGGTATGCTTATTTATCTTAGGATGCACTGTATGATCCACATAGATAAAAGTAGGGTCTACTAATCATAACATATTTTGATCGCAGTGTGCAGAAGTTTGTCTCCGTGATGATTCGCAATACTTGAACCACTCTATTTTGTTTTGCTTTGTGTCCTAGTCAGCACTAGTTGTATTTTTTCCCTGTATTAACATCGTAACTCGCATGTACTCACAGTTTAAAACACTTAATTTGTGTTATCTGTGTAGAAAGCAAGCATGTGCCCTTCGCTTGTTTGTTACAGAAAGCTTTGCTGACCCGGGCTTATGGATAGCAGCGGCGAGTCAAAATGCCTTCGACACGGGTGCTGGCCTCTCTGTGCTCTTCACCTACGCCACTTATATGAGCCGCTCCGCAGGCATAACCAAATACAGTGTATTTATTCCAATGATGAACAATCTTGTAAGGTAGTTTCAAAGGTCGTTTTTTTAATATTAGTAGATGAAATGGTGTTTATTGTACAACAGAAACCTCAGTAAAAATAGAGCAAACGAACTCGCACCGACAGAAGTTGGATCTTTCTATAACCTGACTTCTACTACGAAGTAGAGATTTGGGATTCATTGGTCTAATATCGACCGATTGCCTTGATTTCACTGTATCACAGCGGATCTACTATCATTCAGAAAGGAAAAAGTAGTGTACGGCAAGTGAAACTTCAGACAAACGAATTTCCCCACGGACCTAATTGTTTATCAGTTTTTCAACCACGTATGACAAAAACCAAGTGCAAGGATCGTTCCATTTGTTAGATTCCTTACACCGGAGGGGAATGCAGGACGATCTCAAAGCGAGCAGTTTCTATGACGGTTAAGTAGGGAATAATTTGTCCTCTAGGAGTATCTTCCAACAAGATCATAGCTTGTTTGTCCTGGCAGCAAAATATTGCTGTGCATGTAGCGATTTCAGGGGAAAATGTGTTCTGATTTTTTGGCAGACAAGCGACAGGAATAAGAATGGTTGAAGTGGTTGCCATATTGGGCGGAATATGCGCTCAACAATCCGAAGGAACGGAGCATCTTAAATCCGTTAGCAGTGTCCGTTCCACACAGTCATAACTACCGAACAGCTTCAAATAACTTTGCATGCATTCCTGAAGTATATCCAAACTTTGTGGGGTCGTAGGATGCTATCATCACCTTAGTATTTTGGAAATGGGGCACAAGAAAGCTACACATTTTTTACGCTGAGGTCATTTGGCACCTGGTGGGCTTAATCTCGGAATCAGTTGCAATACAATTTAAGACAATTTCACCCTTACTTTCTACCCAGGCTGCTATGTCCCAGTGGGCCAAAAATTGTTCCTGTCTATTACTGAATTCTTTAAATTTCTGGGAAATAAGGAGGATATGTAGGGCGACATGATGGCTGGCTGCACTGACATCATTTACGCGCAGTTGAAAAGCATCGTCAAACAAAAGCATTTTGTGTTCCTGGATATGAAAACGAACTAAACCAAAAACACATCGCCTAAGCTTGAACACGTTCGCCTGTTCAGACGTGAAAATTCAGATGCGTCCAACGTGCGTTGGTGGTGTAGTGCTAACACGCTCGCCTCAAATGTCCGGAGTTGAAATCCCGGCCAGGCCATTGGATACGCACTGCTGATAAGCCCTTGTAAGAGCAAAACTCGGGTCCAGTGCTTTCCCCTGATGTGGACCCATTAGAATAATTACGCCAGAACCAAAGGACGGTCGTTCAAATGAGAGTGGTGTGAATATAAACTAAACTGGAATAACCAATCAGCCAAACTAACCATAGCACCTTGAAAACGAACACAAATTCCACTTTTTTTACAACTTTTTACAACAACACCACACACGCACTGATACGTTTTTCAAGCCACTAATTTTCGAGTAATTGGACTGTTTCGTGATATTTTGTTCACAGGTACAAATGTGATGATAGCATTGAATGCATACCGATTCAATCAGAGGTACAGAGACTTACGTCCGACGAACACTAATGGGCGAACTCCGGATTTCGAAAGAGGAATAGCGAGATCATCAGCACTCTCTGACTTGAGAATTTGAAGACCAACAGCATGGCTATTGAGAATAGGCGATGGCAAGGTGTCCTTAAGAAATATGATGATGATGAAGAGTAGTAGTCAAAGGGATCCCCATCTGTTTCGCGCTGAGTAAAACGGAGCAGATACCCATCTTCGGGACAGTGATAAACGATGAACGTGTTAATCATATCTGGTGAATATTCTCGTATAAAATAGGTAATGTGGATGCACTATACTGAAGAATACTTCTAACAGTAAATTCAGCTTCAGCCTCCGACCAAGGCTGACGTGATGAAGCATATTTAGGAGTGAAGTGGTAAGGCCTGAGACAAAAAAGCTTCATTTTGAATTTTATCTTATCGCCTATTTTACAAGGTTTCTTCAGAAGACTTGACACGAACATGGTTAAGATTTTTCCAGAGGATAGGAGTAACTTAATAGTAAATTGATCCAAGCGAATGATGCACCTAATTACCGTCAAACGCTGGTAATGCCAAGCACATAAAGTTTGAAGGTGTTGACAATAGTTTCATGCCAGCATTTCCCACTGAAAACAACTTCAGGGTCCGTCGAGTTTTTAATTTGGACAATTTTAATCCAATGTGATCTTGAATGGTTTCATATGTAATGTTCAATCACAAGTCACAGCCAGCAACTTTTAGGGTTGGGTGCTATAGACTTGAAGGTAACTTGAAATCATCCACTCTGCCCCACACTGATATATATGCGCACTAAAACTCTTTCAGTGAATCCCTTAAAACAGATTTGTATCCATGTTGAAGTAATGAGTATGCGAGGAATTATCTCGATAAATATCCACTTAGTCCATCATTTTCGCTTTAAATAACTTTCTCAAACGGACTGAACGATAACACTGACATGAACCTCACAGCAAGTGTCCAGGAAGGATTAAGTCTTCCTTTTCCCCCAAGAAAAGGTCATGTTCCCATAACCTCACCAATTCAATTGCTCGCCTGTGCTGCCAACACAACCACGTGATCGATGAAATAAGTAGTAGCAAAATGGATGCATTCGCTCATGGCAGCATGAAAGTAGGAAATGGAGGAAGACACCTTGCATATTGTAGGAAAGCTGAAATAAACAATCGGGACAAGGCCAAACTGCTCTAGTTACGTAGAAAGCATCATTAAAGTCCGATCTGGCTTGGATATTTTTAATTTTCTTTGAGATAATTGCTATACGAGCTACGTACGAGCGTAATTATTGGAGTCAATTCTAAGAATGCTCTCTGGGTGACTTTATTTCTTGCAGGCCGAATTCCACTGGGCATCTTAAAGAAGCAATGCCTCCAATGTAGAACTTCGTTTCGCTTACTGGCGCATGTATTCTTCTGTTTGTTACTTCGCAGCTTATACGCATCAATAACCATATTCTCCACGGTGTTTTCAACTCTCATCGATGAAGATGGTGCAATGACACGTTCGGCCATTCTGCAAATTATGCAGCAGTCAGGGCCAGGAAGTACCGGTCTCACTTTCACATGGTAAGACACTGATCTTCGCGTGAGATTCAGGAAAGATTTGGTTGTGCCCGTATTACTCTAACTTCTTGAAGTGTTGTGCGTTGATCACTGAGTATAAGCAGTCTGACGGGAGCCTGAAGCTCAACCTTACCTTGGGTCGTCGATCACATTTAGACGGTAAATCAAGAGACGATACTAAAGGCTCACTTTTACGAACATCGGGGTTGTGAAAAGGAAAAAGGGCATTTTACCTCATGCTAGCGGACTATTTTCAAGAAGGAAGCACTTATATAGAGAACCGCTTATTAGAGGATCCATTTTGTGAACTGAACAAGCCTATCCAATCCTTTTTTATTCCTTCTTCTCTAATGGTGCTTTTTAACATGCCTACCCATTGCGCACCGTCAGATGTTCATTTATTTAGTAGGACACTGTTGCTTTTCATTCTCAACCTTCAAGGTTTTTATGAGTTCAACGCTTTGTAAGGAAAGTCGGGTTCTTCTGACGCCGTCAATATCTTTACTACAGTCTGCTTTTATGTCAGTAAGTGCTTCCTAACTCAAAAGGCCGGTAATTTTAAAACAGACCAAGTGAAAGCATACTGGCAAGAGCGTGGTGATGAACTTTTAGCGATGGTTTGATTTTTATCAGTAAATAACTAAAAAGTATGATGAGAACATTTTGAAAACATCTTGCATTCGTTTGTAAAACAAGTACGTATCTACCAGGTCAAACTACCGCGAAAATCGCTGCTCTCAAATAACTCTTACCTGATAACACATCTGTTGGGCATTTCTCTAGGATTCCTGTGTTGTTCTCCAAGGTTGGCATACTTGGACGCGTTCTGTGCGCACTCTTTTTCTTATGCCTCACATTCGCTGGTATCAGTTCTCTTCTGGCAAACATCCAAGTGTATGTGTTGACTGCGAAGGAGATTGGAGGTAAGTGCCTTTTTTGTGACATACGTCATACGAGACAGATCAGGCTATACGAAACGGGTACTCAGTATTACACTAGCTGAGTGTTCGTCTTACCTCCAGTCACCCTAGGAGCTATTCTCTTAGGTAATCGTGGAGGGTTTAACCACATCACTGTGATGCATCCCTCAAACTGTCAGGATGTGCTAATTTGTAAAATCTCTCCTAGTGCAAATTGATCAATGTGATCAGGTGGTGACGAGGGTAGTTTTAAACAATACTCTCTGACCATCAGTTAGAAAGTTTGGACTGCTGCAATAGTGTTGCAAATCAAGCAAACCCATCTGAGTTCATTTACTCTGGTGTATGACGATGACGATTATTTAAGGCCTCTGTAATCTTAAAACTAACCCGTTTGTGAACTAAGAAACAGTGGCTGATGAGACCGCGTATTACGTGTGGAGGAAGAGGTTAATATTGCGGAAATAACACAAAACATTTTCACGGAGTTTTTATCACAGGACTATCCACTATGGAGACTGGGTTTAATCAGCCACGTAGAATTTCTCATGAGCTGATTACATGACGAATCTCCACGTTTGTGGGTAACTAAACTACCTCCCTTTATGTTACCCATTATTAGCTGACTGCACTGTTGCTTTAGCAAATGAGCCTCACTGCTTTCAGGAACACTTGTGTTTGCGGACGCTCATCGAATCCTGACATGTTTGAAGTCCATCTCATTTGGGAAGATTGTGTTCTACTAGCCCAACAGCAACTGCCGTAGAAGGGCTGCATTTTGTATCTGGATGCACTCACCTTCCGTTTATTCTAGGTGAAACTAGTGCAAATCAGTCATTCAATTTGGACATTCAATTTGGTGCCCACTGACTACCAAGGGAAACATGGTAGTCATGCTGATTCAGTAGCATTTCATTGGCAGAATCCTTAGTACAGCAGTAGAACAGGAAGAACGCCTCCTAATATCGTAAGTTAGATGTAAACTCTTCGACGACCCACAAACGGTCTCGCCTTTCCTACTTGGGGTCACCGGTTCGGCGCAGTTTCAGATTTTCCGTCAACGCTGTGTTCTACTAGACCCCAAATCACACGAAATTCGATCAATGTACCCATATGAATACCAGTTCGATTTTCATGGGAGACTCACCTTGATCCTAGTCACGAGATTCCAGTGAGATTCAGGCGAGTCTCCCGCGAAGACCAAATTATCATGTAAATAAGGACATTTGTCGAACCTAGTGTTCTCGTTCTCCAAGGCATTCTCCTTGCCGAACACCATAGACTTGTTTGTAAATAGTGGTTCACCTGATTCGCTGTAGCACTGACCTTTTTCTAAAACCATTTCAATAGACGCAGTCGCTTGTCAGTTCAAAACTGATGTTCCTTTTTCGGCATAAGGTAAGGGGGTGATATGGATATAAGCTTGTTAGCATAGGAAAAATCGTACGCTTATTCTTATCATCAGCTAGATGCAAGATACAGCCAAGTAATCGATAAATTCAAAGACTACTGACACAACATTACATATCAGCATGCACAGCATGAACACTTTGATCACAAACAACAAATGAACTTTCGAACAGAAGACTTGAGGTTTTCTGAGCCTTTGGGGTCGATAACTAATCGGTTGTCATTCATTTGGAGACCCGTAGCTAATGCATGTTACAAAACTCGCCTGCATCCAACTTTAGCACAGTTTCTGGCAGCAATAATAGGTTTGCACATCCTAGTGGATTATTCCATCTGTGATACTTAGTTTTACATGTCTACTTCTCATGTGACCTCGTTTCAACAAGTTTTCTATCAATTTCTAGACACTCTAGTCTTTGTACAGTTAATATCTATCCCGCGGGTGCTTAGAGCCACTTCTGGCTAAAGGGCGCCATCAAAACCTGAGTGATGATGCAGAATATACTTTGGCAGCTTGAAATGCAATTGAAGCCGCTTTTGGTGGGAGATCCGTATTGAAACACTTGGTTAGGTTCACAACGTCGTACATGTCTAATTAACACAATGTTCACTGGAGAAGTGAATCGGGAGCAGCGGCACCCCACCAATATCTCTCACGTGGATGTGCTCCGAAACACTCAGACTGAACGGCCACTTGATTAATTTCGATAGTGGCATATGGTTTGTCGGTCTCTAGGTTTGATCAACTTGATATTCCGACGGAGGAAAATACAGGAATGATTGAACGCACACTTTTAACTAGACCGCACCATTCAAAGTGGTTTCCTCATTTTCATTCAAACTTCCAGGTTAGGTCTGAACGTTCACGTGGAAAGATGCCGACAATATGGAGACCACTGGACGCAGTATCTACCCAAATGTCATACATGTCAAAATAGAACATGCTGCACCTACCTTCATGTTAATCAGCAGTACGAAAGCACTAAAATGGCGTGACTCAAAAGCGCTCGCACTCTACAGTGTAAGGTAAAATAACGAGGACAGTACATCATCCACCGTCTTCAAGTGCCCCTTGTGACATGAAGAAATTCACATAGGATGGTCCTTGTGAACCAGTATGGCTGAGGCGGCATGAGGGATTAGGTTTATTTTGAAGATCACTTAGTTCTCAGCGTTGGGAATGAACTTGTATAAATCTCATATATTTGGGATCTATAACACCGGATGAAAACATGGGTTTTCAAGAATACAGTTTGTTGGAACTTTCAGTCGTCGGCTGTTTTTCACAGAATAATGCATTACTATTTTGTACTAACCAACGCATACTTATTATGATCCTCATATTTGCCTTACGTTGTTAAGTTGATGGATAATCCAAGCATACTCGCGCGGCTAAGTGGTTTTATTGGCATATTTCTCGGTCTGTTGCACCGGTGTTTTAAATGAACTGTTTAAGCTCATAACGTTGCAACTGCATCGTATTTCAGTGCCACATCGGATAGCGGTCGCTGGAAGCCTGCTTGCCTGCGTGATTGTTGGCCTACCATCGGCTATCAAGCTGGAGATTTTGGAAAACCAGGTAGGCCTGTAGCATTGCTGGAGACATGATTATAGTCTGCACAATTCTACCACAAATATCTGTCGGTCTGAACACTCCATCCATTCAAACGGTTGGTCTTTTAATTCCGGGATGCTCACCAGTCCACTTCACATGGTGACATTAGAACGGAGCGGGTGTCATTATGATTGAGGCAATGAAGATCGTGTTTGAGTTTGCCAGAGTGACAGGTTTGTGTAAGACCTGAAGCTACCTAAGGTGACAACTGTGCAATAATTCTCTTTACATGATTGATAGTGACTGGCCAAAATTTCAAACAATGTTAGTACTTAGGAGTAAACTGTGAACTTGAGTAGGATGAGTGCAACAAACAAATTCAGCAAGAACAATCGCGACCTGCGAGGTTTCATTTCTTGCATTTTTATGTGGCGTAGAAGCTATGGAATTAGCTGGAACGCCGAACTGGTTTGTTTTGGCTGGAGATGTACAGTACTGTAGGAAGCACTCTCAGATGATCTGGTCTGTCCGGTATTAAAGTTCCACACACCGTTTGAGCATTGCTGACCCGTCACAGTTGGGGGTGAGATGTGTCCAACTGTAATATGCAATCAATCACAAATCAGTCACTCTTATTTTGTGTTTTACCACTCTTCATCTGCGGTAAACAGGACAACACCTGGGGTTATGCACTCATCGTGTCCGGTATGGTCCTGACCGGTCTGGTTATCGTTTACAATCCTGTCCGATTTCGCCGAATCATCATTAATAACTTCGGCACAAATGACTGGCCAGTACCTATCATTTGGATTGGAATTATCTCGTAAGTCTTTTCACTTACTATCAGATGAGTTTAACATTAGTTTAACCATCAATCTTGCAGAGAATGACTCTGAAGATATCATCACAAAAATTGGTATCCGCAAAAGCACTTTCTTAAGTGGTTTAAGTCAGCGACACCTGTAGACAAATAAATGAATGGTTTCATCGGTTTCAGCAATTCCAGGCAGGTGGGCTTGTCCCATCATCTCGGCATCGGCATGAAAATATGGAAAAACAGTAATTCAGCTAGCTTGAATATTGAATGGATGTACTCAATTTCTGTGTAAGAACTTGATTTCATGATAAGTCTATCAGAAGTTACTCAAACAAACCACCTGACTAATTGTCTATACAAACCTTTAACCAGATCTGGCATTATATGCAAGAAAGTGTTGGAAACGAACTGCAGCCAACGAGTGCCGAACAAAAACATGCAATTCAGATGTACTGAACCAGATATTCTGTAAGGCCAAGCAGCAGTTCTAAGTTCCCATCAAAACGAAATATAAAAAAAGGCATACTCGGTATGGAACTAGGTCATCGAGGACCATGTCCACTACACGTAGCATTTTGCTATCCTGCAACAGTCTTCCGAGGCAGGGTTAGTCAGCTCCAGAAATGTCCTGGATGAACGCTACTCGGCTAAGGCCTGTTTCTCACAAAGAGCGATCCACTGTTGGCTTCAGTGACGCAAATCGAGACCGAATTACCCCATTTCGTTCTTGAATGCCTTCGTATTGACAAACCCGTTTCCGACTCGGTGCAGGGATCAAGGCCTGTCTGGTGTTTCTACACAGCAGATGAGAAAACCGTCGTAAATAGATTCGTTTAAAGAGCTGAGATAAGTGTCGTAGATCATGACAACCTTTTCAGGTCTCATCATCTGGCATCCTTTTCAGATAACAGGCCCTCAACACACGTGGGAGACACGATAGGCCAAAAAACCTTAAGCTTTCAGATAAGCTAGCAGAGGCGATGTTTTGCTACGTTGAAAAACCCCGAAGTAAACCCCCGTGTAAACTAATCTTGTTTTGATTACAGTACGGAGTTCGGTCACATGGATACTTTTCAGGCACTAACAATAGGCGGTTAAACTTCCTGTTTAGCCTATCTTTTGTCTAAAATAAAGGAGCTAAGATGCTTGGAGTCTTATTTCAATTCTCGTTTCGAAAAGCCGGGTAGACACGTCCGTGACAGTGAGAACAGACTTAGTCTCCGAGTTGTTGGTACAGTACAAGTTCATAGTACTTCCAAGCGATTACCCGATAGGAAGATACCCTCAGCACTTTCCAAGCCAGCTATCCAGGTCTGAGTATCCGACTGGACAAGTCCCTCCAATACCCAACTGATAGAAGGTTAGAGGGTATCCGAAAAAATGGACACCACTGCGGTAGGTCAGATTTCAAGCCGGCCACCGTAGTAAGCAATAAGTAAACGATAATCAAAATGAGAAAACTGCCAGCGTGGAAGTGCATTTGTGTTCACGTGCGTGTTTGTGTGTTTATGTCACTGGACACAAACATGCTGAAAGAGCTACAAAACCCCATTTACAGTGAACCGATAAAGGGTTGACACAAATAAACTAACAGTAGGAAAAGAGGACACTACAGTATGCACAAGTACTGGCTGATGAATTATGATGAATGAGGCTGTACAGGTGGACAAGCTATTTCTGTTCAGCTTGATTCACAACACAGTGGGTAAGATTTTAGGATAGAGATGGTGATCAGTTTGTCGCAAGTGTTGAGGAACTGGATAAACGGAAGAGGGTAACTTTATTCGGAACCGAGGTCGTCCAGTGTCCTGTTGCATATTCACTCTGATATTTGAGCCGATATCTCATTGAGCGATTGGAATGAACAAGGAAAGCGAACGGCACCAATGTAGGACGGTCGCTTGAGACTTGGGAGGATATTAGAGGACGAACAACGTTTAAACTTTGGATGTCTCCACCAGTAGGCAGTGAATGGTCACATCGCAAACACCAATTTCTGAAGGCTTGTCCTCCACCACGGAAGAAACTGGTTTCTTTAACGTCCTCATTTTGTCCGACTTAGACAAGTTTCGGGCAGCTTTATTTTTATTGCCTTCTCTGTCTGCAATGGAATAGATTGTTTGGAAGACATGCTTATGGTGGACCGTGAGACCCCTTGTTAGCTAGAGGTAGAAAGTTCCAACCCGCTGTAATGCGACAATTTAGCACAATTTCTTTTCGGTATCGAAGAATTTGATGAGGTTAAGTAGACGTGGGTACCATCAACTGTTAATTTCTCCCCGTCAAAGTTCGCAATTTTTTCAAATCCTTCATGACGCCTTTAAATCGTTGTTTCAAGTTACTTTAGTTGGACAGATTGATAGCCCCCCCCCCCCTAACGTGTCATACTCGTATGTTCATCAAACCTTGGCCAACTATAAAAAATAACTAAGGACTATCTTCGTTCACTGGTATGTAAACCTGATACTTTGTAACTTCCAAGGTGAACCAATATAAAGAGCACTTTCATTATGTTCATCAAACCTTGGCCAACTATAAAAAATAACTAAGGACTATCTTCGTTCACTGGTATGTAAACCTGATACTTTGTAACTTCCAAGGTGAACCAATATAAAGAGCACTTTCATGCCTTGCTTGCAAGTCGAGCGTGACCGCGCGATTTTAACTCCACTTGAGCAAAATAACCGAATTTCCTTCGACCATGGTGTAGTTGTTGTCGATCAAATAAACATTTAGTAGCTAAAATATCAAACCTCTAACAGTTGTTCCTTGTTGAAGTATCTGAATGGGTTCATTGACCATGAAGTGTCAGCTATGATCTCAAATTGAGTTGTATAAGCCAACCTTTCTGTCTCTTTATTTCAGCGTGGTCGTGCCCGTCATCTTTGTGTTCTTAATCGTCTGGTGGATTTACGATTATATTAGGGAAGCGGAACGCTGGTACGATGTGACGTGGACTTCGGTAACATTGACGCTTATTGAGGTGAGCATTTTGAGAGCTTTTGCCCCACCGTAGATTTTCCATTGCCTTGAAACGGTTCTCAGAAGTTTATCATTCAAGATGTCCGCGTTTATCGTTTATCCTTTTGGCATGCCTTGGATAATGCCAACATACGTACCGATGCTAAATTAACTGAACGTGTGCAATCAAAGTTTCTTGCTTGCTGGCACTTCTCTGTGCCCGGGAGGCCGATCTAGGTATTTCATTCACTATGAGGCACCTACAACCTTGTAAGTTACCTGGTAATTTTGCTCCATGAAGACAGAATACCAACTTTCAACACGATTTCAAATTATGAGTGATGGTAACTGGAATAGTTTCATTCCTACGTAGCTTGCTGTCTGCTCATTGGAGTGAATTCGCCGTGTTATAACCTATATAAAAATCCTTCATCTTTGGGGAGTATGTGAATGAGTGAGATAACCTACCTTAGGTGATTCAAGCTGTTTTTAAACCATTTACAAGTATCTTCTCAGAAGAGTCTACAAAACAATCGATAGGTGATCGATAGTGGTCAGTCATATTTTACGCCTGGTCAAGCCAAACCTAACGCGATTTCACGGACTGTTTGTAGCAAAAGCATACGGACCTAAACATTACATTCACGGACACGTGGCCGACAGCTTCAAAGGTCCAGAATCTGAGCTACTGAACAGACGAAATCACTCGTAATTTTAGTGTGTGAAAGTCACGTACCCATGAAAGCTCCAGTATCTGCTTTCTTAACTGAAGTTTCCCCATACGGGTAGTGAAACAAAAACACCAGGTGGACTTATTCATCTCCGGACCGTTAAATGTCATACAAGGAATAAAAAGTAATTTTAGTGGGACAATTACCGCTAAGAAGGTAAGGGATAGAAAATCTACTTGTTAATCAAATTCAAGGTCATTTATCCGGGTTGTGTGGGAGATATTATCAGCTGCGAGCCGTCATCAAACGACGCGGGATAAAACTGACTTTTCGTCGTGAAGCGGTAAAGATGGATGGAGATAGCCCTGGAGCCCGCGAGATTACGTGATCTGATAACCTCCGACCGGTTTCTCAGTACGCTCAAGCCTATCAGTGGTACCACCCATCATACGCAGTAGAATGTTCCTTACTGCGCATGTAACGATCCTACCAGCTAGTTCTCTGCGGGTGTTTCGCCTTTAATTATACCACCCCATGACATGTCCCAGTTCTCATACGCATCAGAATTTCTCTGGACCGTACAATAAAGTTCGTGTGGAATCACGGTGGTCTGCACAAAAGTGCAAACATCTTTAGCTTCACTTTTTTTTGTCACAGTAACTGTTGTCTATACTGCTGTGATGCCTAACTGCTTGGCTGACCAGTGTGCTGCTGACTGTCTAACCTATTAGCCAGTGGAAGCGGAACCAATTTCGATCAGAACAAGAGCTGCGAACTAGTGACAAATTTTGGTACGGCGTGTATCGCGTGAGCAAAACCATACGACGACTCGGAGTGCGTAATAGACGAGGCCATCTGCTGACGGCTGTAGTGGGACAGCTTGTAGATCTCAAAACACGTGATTGCGCAGAGAGGCGATTCGCACGGGTGCACTTGGCTGGCCAGTAGATTAATGAGGCGCATGCTACACTCATGTTTTTCAGCGCCTTCTCAACGTTAGAAGGATGGTCTAGCACTGAACAGAAGTTCTAAAACGGTTAGGCCTTTTTAGCGTTCAGCTGCTTCCAGAGGGTACGAAAGACCCATTTTTAAGGAGAGAATTTATACTTAGACGTAATGCGTTATTCATCTGGTCGCTGAAAAGTCTTCGATAACCCACGACCGGTTTCGCCCTTCTTGGGGTTCATCACTTGGGGGAAGCCATCGAGTTTCCGTCAATCTTATCTTCCAATGGAACCCGAATTACAACCTTATGAGTATTGCATTACGTCTATACAATGTATCGCAACACCTCGAATATCGTAACAACTGAAACGTGAAGCAGCCTATTGCAGCGGATCCAGTTGATTCTGTACATCAGAAGCGAGAGATTCAACTGGGATCCAGGTGAGTCTCCCTTCAAAACCAAATGGTGACTTGTAAGCGGATCCAGTTCTGTACATCAGAAGCGAGAGATTCAACTGGGATCCAGGTGAGTCTCCCTTCAAAACCAAATGGTGACTTGTAAATAACTGACACTAGCAGCACAGAAGGAAAACAAGACCTTACTGTTAACTGCTAACGCAAACAAAAGGAGCATCAAACTTCACAGTTAAAGAATACGATTGGCACCATTTAAAAGTGCATCGTTATCGCAAAGGAGCTGTTTTATTATTTGCAGTTCGCATTTCTTGGTGAAAAATCCCCTCCCACATTAGCTGATACTTTGAATCCGTTATTCCGAATTATTAGTCGACAAGTAAAACTTGACCCATAGTGACGTAGTGTAAAGTTAAGCACGGTTCCACCGTCAGATAAAATTTAAATCACACTGACTGAAAACTGAATGGCAAACGTGAGTGCTAAACGGTTTGTTGAAGACCGTGTTCTAACTGGTGTTTTTTTAATGCCAACGGCTTTCAGTGTAAATGACAATCCGGTTTTGTTCCGTCAACTAAAAAGTCTTTTAAACGGTACTCGTAATCAGCGTTGTCCACTAGTTGGTTACAACACCCAGTCAGTCCTTTATTCCGGTTAACAAAGTTTCATACCACGAAAGAGCTCCACTCCGTTTGGCCCTCAGGCACTCTCCACTTCCCGTCAGTTGCCTAGCAAATCAGTGAGGCTAAGCCTTTTAGTACTATTTTGTTCGGTCTCTCAGTAACTATGTGCACTTCGAGAACTACATTATTTGTCTCTGAATGCCAACTAAAGGTGGATGCACTAATCTCCAAGGCGTTCGAGAAGCAAATGACCGTTAAAAGTTGGTGGCTTTCGATTGGCTGTCAAACGGGTAGACACCCAAGAAAACGCAAACAGATCCACAAGTAAAACATTTCGGTCAATGTGAATAGGGTTGGCAAACAAGGCTCGCCGGTGTTTGGTAAGTGAAGACTACGGATCGAGCATCAGAGATGTTTAGATCTGAAACTGGCTATTTGTTGATGTATTTAGCGGGTCAGCGAAATAATAATTGGTCTCCGACTGAAGCGGCCTTTCTGTCATAAAGTTTTTTATTGGAGACGTAAACTGAATTTGTCTTGATGAAATACGGAATGGAAGTGACTACTTACTTTCTTTTGAACAAAGAATTCTGGGTCATTGATAGTGGCTTGAAAACTGATCATAGATAGTTGCACCTAAGCGAAACAAATGTGTACTAAGTGTACTACTTTTTTAAGACCTAGTGATTCACAGGTGACTTCTGGCAACTGCGCTCAAAGGTGCTCTGTATCGATGTCAGGCACTATTCGGTCAATGATTTCTGCCTTGTTATGTTTGTCGTAACTAATTGCAACCAACTCACTTTTTTCCACATACAGTGGTTGGTCGTGCTTGTTGTTATCCTGATAATAAATTTCGTGGTCGTTCGAATCAAACGGGACTTATATGTTGAAACTCGAAAATATGGATCCGATCCCCACAATCCGGAAACCTACGAAAAAGATTCAATTCTGACAATTAAAACGGTTCGTGTTCCCAAAAAAAGTGTGGATTCGGTCCGAACAGTCTAGCCAACATGGTAAGGCACTCGGGCACATACTTTATTTTTGTAACCGGCCTTTTTTTCATGTGATCTATTCCCCTCTCATGTCCTTTGTATTGCCTTGTTCATCCTTTGTTCCACCGAGATTTGCTGTTGTATATGTCGAATTCTGTCTATCTTATACGTGCGAAAAGCTTGCTCTCTCCAGTGTGCACATCTTCAACCACTACTTATGGAGGCGAATTACGTCCGTCCAGACTTCCTATTTATTTCTCTTCGGTATCATATTCAATCAAAGCAGGTGTCAGAAAACCCCTCCGGTAAATCCACATTTGCTTGCCCGGTCTATGCGCTTCTATTTACCTTAATGTCATTGAAAAATATAAATGCTATGATTATGATATGATATGGGCTTGACTATTTTGCTCGTAAACAAGGTTAGTAATTTCGACTAGTCAACTTTCGTTAAGGTCAACTTGTTCAAGCTATCGGCTGCCACTTATTTATAGTGGGAGGGTAGTGGGAAATTGTATAAACACGAAGTACAGTGTAAGGCTCATTCAGTTAAAATTGTTCGGTTATTAGGTCTAAATTACGAGTTAGATGGCAAGCGGTTTTGACCAGCCTGATCATTCGGAGTTTGCCGCTGAAATCACGGGTGATTAACAGGAGATCGCGTCTGAGAAATGATTTGCTTCGGTTACGGCTTGTTATTTGGGCACCTTAGGTAGCATTTCTTAATAGCCGAAATGTCGGGCGATGCGGGCTATTCACAAAAAATGTACAGACGCAGGTCACTACTGAAATCTATGTGTGAAGATTCGAATATTTCTCCGGCTGCTATTCTATTTACTTACTCTACTAAGAAACTTCATCGTCGTGAACGCCTTAAGCAAGTTGCCTTCGGGCATTTTAACCTTAGTTATTTTGCGTTCTAGCTTCTCTGAGCTTACCATATTAGTTAGGTTCATACGGTTATTAGATAGAGAATCGGCATAGTATACAGAGAAGCAGCCACTTACGCCACTTACGTGAAAACCGTACTCATTCATCCAGTGAACTAGCTCCGAAACGACCCTCTAGGTCGATGTTTGATCGAGCTTTGTGCCCAAGAAAGACAGCTTACCAATATGGGATGTTGCGGATTCCGTGAGCTATATTATTTTAACTGCATCTGATGAAAGGTTGATATAGAAATTACCAAGCCACTTTGCTGCGTTTAACAATTGACTGGAACATTCGGACAGCGTCTAATAAACTTCAGGAGGACACCTGAGCAGCTTTACTTTTGAAAACACTCCGTTCAAGTGAGGTTTTCGCTATCGCATCTAATAGTTTTAATTACGTAGTTAGAAGAGTATTATTTTGACTGGTGATTTGGTAAGGGCTACACACTGCTGTAGGTTATATAAATCAAAAGAAGTAAAGAGACGAAACAAATTCGGTGGGTCTTATGTGGTAGGATTGGGTCGTATGTTAATCAGCTGTCAGCAATGCACCTTCCGCTTCGAAATATCCAAGAAGGAAGTAAGATTAAGTTGACCAGGAAAAACCTGAGCCTAAAAGCATCTCTGCTGATAATGTTGAGACAGTACGAAATATCGGTTCGGCTACTTGACAGCGAAGATTTTTGCTAAGCGGATGGTAAAGCCCTCTGTTAACTCCTCAAGCCAAACTAAACAAAAGGGAAAAATCTAAAGGCGAGAGTCATTCGGTCATGTGATCACATCGTTGAACTTAGAGGTGCATACAGTGGTGGTAAAACGAAAATTTAAAAATGGGCAGTGCAGTCAACCTAAATTGTGAACTGTCGACCGGGATTGGTGTTTCGGAAAATTCAAAGACCTGATTGAGATTCAAGGATGGATTCGACAACCATTTCAACAGGTTTCCTATCTATTTTCGAAAAGTACGGGTCAACACACACAAAACACACTCGCTAGGATAAAGAAACCAATAACCTTAACATGACGATATTTAAAATGAGAAAATGCAGATGCAAGATATTAGTGCGAAATTACAGTTCGCGCCTGAACCCCACTGCTACACACACTTGCCACAACCTAATTAATTTAAAAACACTGGAGCTACTTCTCCGAATAAACTGTAGATATATGAAAGTCAGAACGCTGGATTCCTGAAACTACTGTAAACGTCACAGGAAACAGAATTGCCTAGGAAACACCGCAGCGATTTTAGAACTGCTTGTTTTTCAAACCACAAATCAGTTTACTTTGTGGTAGACGTTGTCCATAATATTTTTCGAACGAATCATAAGCTGTTGGAGGTACACTCTCCGCTCAGTTTACCCAATTCCTTACTGCTTCATTACTTGCTTTTGAATGAGCTACCGATTACTGTAATCACGAGCGTCGGTATGGAAAGTGTCGTTCCGCCACGGCATGACCTGTTAAAACCGCTATAGGCGGTAAGTAAGCATCCCGTTTCTGATAAGGAATTTCGTAAATTCCGTGAACTTGGACCTGACACCATCTTCATCAGGCGCAAAGTAACACAAAGTCCAAACTACTGATCACTTAGCAGGTAATCACAGGTCATTCACACTGTCTGACATTGTGAACACATGTGCAGTGCTCGATTACCTAGGTCAATACTGTCTTGTTATCCGTGGGTAGCGAAAAATCCATTTTACCCACGAGCCGATTCAGAGCAAATGGTTGTTGAAATGTTAGCACTTAACGGGGATGGGCAGACTGCATAGAGCGACAAACCGCACACAAGCGCAACAGGCTCAGCAGACCGGCTAAAGTAGTAGCCAACCCCCGACCGTGACTAGTTGGCTTTGTCTCGCTCACATACCCGAACAGAGAACGGCTTCTGTCATGTTCAGTCCAATGATGCCTGCTTCAGATATCTTTTTTCAAGTGATCTAACTCGTGAACAAACCTGTGAGTTCAATCATCGGGAAGCTGAGCGAGGTGTTCGGCTTTTGACGATCCAGTGGTGTGGCAGCGAGCAATCCGGCATGCGCACGCAACACTGCATGCAGGCATCGTTCTCTCCTCAGATTTGTGGGTGTGACAGCCAAGTGCAGATAATGGGCTCATTCCCCTCGGGCATCACTGCATACTGACACAAGTGAGTCAGGGAATAAAGGTAACTAGGCGCACCCGATCCACATACGAACATGAAATAGAGGGGTCGATGGAACTTCAACAAGTGGAATGCTCATGTGGCGGTGAGCGTATGCGGGCAATTATAATGGGTATTGCCTAACCAAGCTCGCCAATCAGACGATTTGTTGCTATCGGTTGCTCTCATGTACAGTCTTGATACAACGGCGAACTCTCAGTTTCCACTATACCACCGGTACGAGAAAAGTCACCCTTGAAACTATCGCCTCCAAGATGAACGAATTGAACAACCCGGTGCATCGTTGTTCGTCGGACATTAGGCGTGAAAGGATCAGTGAGTGAAACACTTGGCTGCGTCCAGTCAGGTTTTCTACGCATCACAAGATCATCTGGCGTGTGTCCCAATTGACTAACGAGTATTATTTTTCGGCATACCGAGTGTGGATATAAAGAGAAGTCTGCTGCCAGATGTTTCACCTGTCACTGTCATAATTTTTTGTGCGCCAAGAAGTAATGGGTGAGGAGACTAACTGCTAGGCTCCAGCTTTCTGCGAGAGTGTGCGACTCAGCTGGTGTCGGTTGATCTCGACACAGCACAATTCACTTCTCTGTTGATATCAATATACGTGAAGTGGAAGAGATCGCATACCTAAAACACATAGCTCCAAGGCGCAGTGCTCCGAGGTATGTTTAAGAAGAATTTTGCGAGAAGGCATATATTGCGTAGATACGGAGAACTGCGGTTTCAAGAATCCACGAAAAGTGACACAAACTGCTCTTGATTTTAGGCCATAAAAATCTTTTCGGTGTTGTTCACGGAAGCACCATGGCAAAGTTCCGAAGGTCTTGGTTAGGTGGGAACCAATCCACGTTCATATCAAGCTGCACGAACAGAGAAGCTCAAAAATCGCGATTCCGGTTGGGAGTTTTGATGTGGTATTCACTGAACCGTTTTTCTAGGCGGGCAGTTGTGCACTGCGCAAGGATGCACATCACATTTTCAGGCAATGCGAATATAACTAGCTTATTTTTCTTTCTGAATTCAAAGTCAGTCGCTCAGAAATTAAAAAGTGTCAGAGCGGAAATATTTGAACATCAGGAAGTTAAGTGAAATGCACTTGTCTGGGCGTAGATTCATTCTGAAGGCGCAGTATAATACTGATACACAAGGATCATTCTGAGGAGCTAAATGTTTGTGATCTACAGTGATGTTATCAGCTCTATGTCTCGTTAGATGAGATTAGTAGGTGTGTTTAAAAATGTGAATGCAACCAACGCAACAATGTTCATACAGAACAGACGGATTGGCAATCCATTACTGATGGGCATAAGAGAAGAATGAAAAAACCTTCACAAAACAGATAGGAACTAAAATCCACGAGAAACCCCAGCAGTGACAGGGCACAAGATAGATTTCGGAAATGTTATTCGGAGGAAGGACGACCGGAATTCCTTTCTCAACCACAGGCACGTGATTAAGAAGGGTGTGTCAGTCATAAAAGACATGTGAAGTTGACGGAAATATTCCGTTGTTATGCAATGAGTCCGAATGCATAGCTTCAAACTTGTGGTATGTATGTTACCGCGAATACGATGCACGCCATGGAGCTGCGAATTTTCACATACAGTCTATGTATAATTTTGATGATTGCAAAAGTGTCGTCCACGTAGTGGGTCCATATTTTGTATTTGTATCCGGCGAGAAAGAAGACTTCTGTAAATTTTTTTGAATTTCGTTTTCGTACGCATCTTGAGTCCAGCGGAGAATATTACGAATCTATACCAGAGCCATCAGTTGGGTTGCCAATTTCAAGATTTATTGCAGCAATTACAATGTAAACGATGGAGAAAATTGTATTTCCTGATGCAAATCCCAAAATATGGATTCGTTAGCTGAACTAAACTTCTGCGGTCATTTAAATGCAAACTGCAG